TCAATGTTGTTTGTATTGTAGAACTCAACAACATTTGCTTCACCAAAAGAAAAATTATCATCATTTTCTTTATTAGATACTAAATCTACTGGTGAGATAGCATGAGCTTGATTGTACACTATAGATGCCAGATTTAAGGCTTCATTTAATAATATATTTTGAAAATATTTTTTTTATTATCAGATTCAATCCATAGGTTCTTAAAATATTGATGTGATAATGATGCCAAAAAGGCTTCATTATATTCATCATCATAAGAAAAAAAATTTCCAAATCTTTTGCCCATGGCATTTTGAACAGCTTTTAATAGAGGTAGACAATATTGTAAACTTGAATGTTCAAGTTTACCTAATTCCCTTTTAACTACAAATAGTATGGGCACTAATTCCCCATAAAATGTACTACTCTGCCCTTGTAGTTTGTCTAATGCAATTGCTATAGGGCCTAAACTCCATATAAACAATATCCATTTCTTTTAAATTAGGACAATCAATTGTTTCAAATAATAATTTTAAATCGGATTTATATTTTAATAATGTAGTCATACTATGATACAAACTGTTCCATCTCGTTATACATGGAACCTTTAGCTGAATACCACCTGTTATCTCCCTTATCTTTTTAGAAGATTTGGGCCTTCCACATGCATTCCATATTTTTGCATTTCCCCATTAGTCCATAATGAATCTTTTCAAGATTCTTTGAGCTTGATATTGATGAAATAATATCTTTAGTTGCAATTAAGGACAAAGTGTGGCAGGCACATCTGATGTGCCTGGCTAATATTATTTTGTTTATATCATCTAAAGATAAAGATTTTAAAAAAATTCTAAAAAAAATCTGTACTAACCATCATTGATTTCATTAAACTCTAATAGATTATCCTCATCCTCAAAATCGTTGTCAATAGCATTTAATTTCACACCATATTCACTAAATGACTTTACAAAATTGGATGCATTATCTGTGACAGTAGCAATTAGTTTATTAGAATCCCATACTCTCTATAGACTTCTTCCAATACCTCGGCAATTTTATCAAATGAATGTGTGCCAGGCAGTGGCGTAGACAGGATTGATTTATGGGGGGGGGGGGGGGTTTGAAAATTTTTTGGGGGCTTCGCCCTTAAACCCCCTTATCAAAATTTGCCAATATTTTGTGTATTATACCCAGGCCAGCATAAATATTAAAAAATATTCGAATTAAAATTTTTGCCAAATTTATAATTAATAAGCGACTGAAAGCATTATTTTGAAAATGTTATCAATGTTTAGTAAATTGTATATTAATTCAATCTATTCGATGTAAAAAAAATTTGCCTCCCCCCAAACCTTCCAATTTTATGATCAACTCAATATATCTTATTCTATGTTAAAAATAATTATTTTAATTAAATTTTTGCATATAACAATATTTTGCAAAGATTTTATTTATTATCAACTTTATTTATTTAACTATGTATTTATTTTAATAATATATAAAAAAATAAATTTCAAAATATATAAATTTTATACAGATTATTTACATTAAAAATTAAATGTAAATAACTATATTTTAAAAAAATAAAATTGCAATAAAATATGTAATTCTTGCTAAAAAAATACAATTTAACAATTTTATTTAGTATAAACCCTTTATTTAACTATGTGTTTATTTTATATACAAAAAATAAATTTCAAAATTAGAAATTTTATACAGATTACTATTTTAAAAATTGATTGTAAATATCTATATTTTAAAAAAATAAAATTACAATAAAATATAAGTAATTCTTGTATGCAATTTAAAAAAATATAATTTAACAGTTATATTTAATACAAATGAGTATATTATATAAATAATTCTTATTGTAGGTGCAATACTAATATTAAATATAGTATAAAAATATCATGACTAAAAATTCATTATAATTAAGTTTTACATATAAAAATTTTATGACTATGAAAATATTGCAATTATATGATTTGAATTTATAAAGAGAGGTCTACTTTTCTCTGAGATTTGGCTAATTCATCTAGAATCAAATTTTTATCTAGAATAATCTCCTTATAAATATTTAATAGGGCTAATCCATTTAAACGGTTTTCACCGGTGCTATTTCTTAAATAGGTTTTTAACCTTTTCAAAGTTGAAAAAGACCTTTCATTAGTGCAGGTACTAATCGGTAAAGTAGCTAAAATAAAAAACAATGTTTTGATATTGGGCAGGGAATCTAAAGTGCAATTACACATGGAAAGGGCCTGCAAAGCATTTTTTGGTCTCAAAGAGTACTCTATTCTGCCAAGATTTTTATACCAAAATTCGACATCACAAAGTAACTTATCATAAGACCCTAATTAATCATCAGAATAAAACTCTGAGATGTTCTTAATATCCTCTCGCGTTTCAAGTGTAATCAACAATTCAGACTCAACCGGCAAAAGAAAATAAAAGCTTTTTAAAATAAAATTGTGACTTATAAATCTTTCCTTTAATTGAAATAAAAATGTATCAATAAGTGGAATAAAAATGTTAATTTTATAAAAATCCTCAATCGTAGATGCATCAATATTTGAGCGATTGGATTGTCTAGAAACTACTCTAGGTTTAAAAATTTCAATCCCAAACATATTAGCGATCTCCTTTACTTTCTCATATATTTCGTGAAATTTTTCATCCACATTATCTCTGATATTTGTTAATATTTCAACAATATCCTTTGCCCTATTCATAACCTCCCTTAAATCCAAATCAATTTTTTGTAACATTTTGCTAAAATCATATGTATAATTAAATAAAAAATAAACACATTGAATTGAAATTACTTCTATGTCTATGAGGCTGCAGAAATGGAATATAGCGAATTTTGATATAAAAAATAGGGCGGGTAAACACAACATAGTGCCTGACTGCCTATCACGACTACCCTTAAAAGACATTGAGGAAACAATACACGAGCTAGAAGAATTGGATAAAAACAATTTATTAGATGCACCGTTAAACTTTGAAAAAATAGCCACGGGAACCATGCATGACAAAGAACTATCGCAGGTTATAAATGATGTGAGGAAGGGCTATTCAATAAAGAACACGACTTATAAAAAAATAGAAAATGAACTAAGTATTGTAAAAAAAACTGTCTCTACAAGGCGGAAATAATAGTGATTCCGAGAAAAATTTTTGTGCAGGATCTACATGCCGGACACTTGGGAACAGGAAAATAATTATTTATGGTAGCCTGGCATAAATGCTGAAATAGATTTAAAAGTAAAAAACTGTGAATTATGCAACATGTGGTCAGATAACCCGAAAACATTTATGGGCTCCAACACTTAAACCACTCGAAAGATTACATATATATTACGCTAGTCGATTTTTTCAAAGATATTAGCTAGTAATAGTGGATGCGTACAGTAAATATCCCATCATCACCCCGATGAAATCTATAACCACCGAGAGAACACTAAAAGAGCTCATAAAAACAATAAGCTTGTTTGGGATACCAGAAACCATCGTTACGGACAACGGCACTAATTTTACCAGCAAATTATTTAAAAAATTTTGTTATGATCACGGTATAAAGCATGTACTAACATCTACCACCAACAATCAAACGGACAGGTGGAAAGGATGGTTAGGATATTCAAATTGAATATGAAACGCAATATGGAGGACAGAACACAGATGCTGATATAGCGCTAGAAAAGTTTTTGTTCAATTACAGAAACAACCTAATACGACTACGGGCATTCCACCCACCAAATTAATGTTCAATTACGAGACTAGAACCAAGTGGGATCTATTGAAGCCTACGTCTATTATTAATGACGATATTAAAACTAAGACCATTATTTCACCGAATAGGATCATTAACTCAGGGGATAAAGTGTGGTTCAAAGTATTTGGCGTAAATGGGATAAAGGTACTATCAAACGAAAGTATAGCGACCTTTTATATGAAGTGGACACAGGTAACCGCGTCATAAGACAGCACCTAGACCAAATAAAAAAGATCATAACATAAAAATAAATTAAACGCAAATATAAAAATAAATACTAAAACACTAAAATAAAAAAAAGATGGAAACGGTAAATATATTATATAATAATCTTGTTGATTTATCATCCTTTTATTCTAACATATTAATTCTCTAATTATTCACACATTCCAACATCCTATTTAATAATGTTAATTTTACAACTGGTGATAATAACAATTTTGTAAAATTGACAATGATAAAGACGGAGATTGACGACAAGCCTACATACTCGAAACGATATTATCAAAGCCAACGATTACAATGACTTATGAATGACTTGAACAATCAAAATGAACAACCATTTGAATGACAAATTTTCTATGACAGCTAAGATGGATTATGGGAAGGCTTTTCAGAAGAAGGGGAATGTTAATTGAGATTGATTTTTTATATGTATTTAAATTCGTTTAACTTAAATTGCTATTATTTGAACATAAACTATTAAATATGTTAGCCTGTAACCTTGTTTTTCGCTTAAATTGTTTTTTTATAATACATATATATACCTTATTTTATATTCAATTTTTTAGTTATTTTTAGTTAGTGTATTTTATAAAAGTAAATTTAAAATAAAGAAATTTTTATTTAACGTTTTCTAATTTTTTCCATATAAAATAGCCTTAGGCTTCCAATAATTAGATAAACACTTTTTTCAAAGAATACAAGAGTGGAGTAGGCCTATCAATAAATGCTTATGTATAATTTAGTTTAAACCTGCATGGTTTCGTGGTGTAAACCTTTATATTATGTAAAGCACTCTACACTAGCAATCAACCGTAATAAACGCTAAATATATCCTTCATATATTTTAAGGTCAAATAGGACCTCTTTACTTTAAGACTTATAAATACTATTTCTATAAATATGTTATATAAAATTTTTAAAAATTTTTTATTAGAGCATATAAATATTTAATTAAATTTTATTTTTTTAAAATAATATTTTTTATCTTGATTTTCTTACTTATTATAATTTGTCCAGATATGGCTGCTTTCTAAACGTTTTGATAAATTCTTTATTTTTATATTAGTAGAGTTTTAATAAATATATTTCATATTATTATATTGATAATAAATTTGATCAATATGAATATAGCAAGTTTAGATGAACCAGCTAGTTTCTTTCTAAATGGAAGAAATGAAGATGTAAAGGATAAATCCCACAAAAAGCATAAATCCCACAAAAATAAAAAGCACAAAAAGAAAAGTAGGAAGAATAGGAGATCTCCTTGCAAAGATGACAGCATTATTTATGATCGGTTTCCGCTAAATCAAATATTTAAGTAAATTTTAAATGAAACAATTATTTATAAATAATCTATATTATAGTTAGCTATTTTAGCTAAAAAATTATTTTGTTTCCATTTATAATAGTTGGTTTGGGATATTTAAAATATTTTATAAACTTGCATACAATGTATAGCTAAAAAATTAGTAATAGGGAAAATAATTTAAGTAAATGTTTTTACATAGAATTGCACATATCAAATACATTTTATACATCATATATTTAAATTAACTTATGGCCAACTTTTCTTATGTCGATATATTAAAAAAAAATCTGACTATACTATTGAACTAGTGATATGATTTAATTATTAATTTATGGCATACACTATAATTAAATTAAATAGATATTACTTTTTTTCTGGCAAAAATTTATATTGAATATTTTTAAATCTAAGAATTATGCTCATTTCCATCTTAATTTACAATTAATAAATTTTTATAATAGTTGATTAAATTATATACTTAAATAAGGTATTAAAGGAATATAAGAAATTCATATAATAAAAGTTTTTTTGCTTTTAATTTAACAAAAAGTGCTTCTTAGAAAAACAATGCTTTAGCCATATAAAAGATGGTCACTATAATAATATGGCCACTAAAAAGAGGTACTTAAGCAGGCTCATTAGGTATAATTAATAACATAAAAAATTGTATCCTATTGTCAATACAAAATAATCAATTTTCATAAATGACCGAAGATTTATTTTAGACTTATTTTGTGTCTATTATTTATACTAAAAAATATTTTATGATGATGATATTAATAAACAATTCAAAAAGTTTAGAGGAGTTTTTATTATTTGACAAAATATTATATAAATTTGTTGTAAAGATGGGCATGACTAAAATATGTGCCCCCTATCAAATAAGTTTTTAAATTATATTAATACAGAATTGTATTTAGCTTCATAAGATGAGTTAGAAAATGTTTTTTTTTATTTAAAAAAGCAACAAAGTAAAATTTAAAAAAAATCTAGTCAAAAAAATAAATTAAGTGTTTTTTTCAAAATCTCAATAAGTTATAAAAAATTTATAAACTTAGTATTAACATTTTTTGATTCCTTTTAATAAGTTATATATGATTCTGTGTTCATTTTTTATATATTAAGCTTCTTTGATAGGAGGCTCTTAGTTTAGTCATGTAAAAAAAATAATTTTTTAAAAATTTTACTATTAAATAAAAAAACATTTTCTAACTCATCTTATGAAGCTAAATACGATTCTGTAATAATATAATTTAAATTAAGCTTCTTTGATAATAGAAGTGTGTAGTTTTTGGGGGTGCCTATTTTAGTCATGCCCTGTAAAGATATATAAAAATTTTGCCAAAACATGGCCTTCTTATTATAAAAAATAGCACCTTATTTTTTCTTTTCTTCACTCACTGAAGCTTTCTGGATTTAGACCTGTGCCAGAAAAAATTGAATTTGTAGTCAATAAAAAATATGGGATTGTAATTTTTTTACTACAAAGTTTTTCTATTTTGTAGAGTACAAAATCAGAAATTGTTTATTTAATTATTTAGTTTAAACTTCATTAGTTCCATACAGAAGGTTTTTCAAAGTGGTTTTTGATGCTTTTTTAGTATTATTTATTAATAATTAAATGGTGTCTTAAATCTGGATCATTTTTTAAAAATATTATTTAAAAATATAATACAAGAAATTATTATCATAATATGCTTGAAAATAAAAAATATTTCTGAAATATGCTTCTAAAACCACTTTGAAAAACTTTTTGTTTGGAAATGGCCTCATAAAATTGTCAATTATGTGTAAGAATAGAATGTTCTTAACTTATATATACATATATTGGGTCATTCCATGACAAATCAACCACAATTTGGCTGTCCCCCTTAGAATTTTTAAAATTTGGTAAGTAAAGAAAGTTAGTGTAGTTAAGAAATAGGCAAAATTTTAGTCTTGTAACATTTATATTTTTGGAGATATTAGGGCTTAAAATGGCAAAAATGACGTATTTTTACCATTATCTGCCTTCATTCAATTAAGCATATCTTAAAAACTACTTAATATAAAAAATATTTTTAAACATCCCAAAATTCCACAACCATCTAAACCTCAAATTTTAATACATATTTTTCAAAAAATATAGATTTTAAGCTAATTTGTATTATATTTTTTAAAATATAAATTTTTATTTAAACATTACTCAATTATTTAAACCCTAATATTCATGAATCTTGATACAACAAAATTTTTAATTTAATTTTATAATTTTTATTTTTTTTAAATAACATTTTTGGAATTTTAGAAATAAGTCATTCATTCATATATACCCCCCTCCCCTTTTTTCTCTAAAATGGGTATGTCAAGCATTTGTAATGCCTGCCATAGAAATATAAAATTTGTTTTTATAAACATGGGCCCAGGTCAAAACCATGTATAAACTCTGGTAAACCCCCTTCAAATGAAATTGTACAACAAAATTGAAACAACCCCAATTGTAACTCAAAATTTTTATCCTGATTTTTATGATAATTTTTTAAAGTGGGAAAAGCCACCAACCTTAATCCACCTACCCCTTAAATCAAGGTCTTTAATTTCTAATTTTTTAACAACACTTATCATGGAAATTAATTCAAATTTAAATTCCCTTAAAGCTTGGAAGAATCTTTTAACCTTTCCTTTTAAAGTTTTAATTAAACCTACAGATAAAAATAAAAAACTATTTTGCATGAATGTATAAAATATAAAATAGACCATTTTTATGACTTAGAATTGGAAAATTACGTTCCTAATTTAAGGGCTACATCTGATTTTGCCCATAAATGCAAAATTATATCAAAAAAATAGACCAAGGGGACGTATTTGGAGCTCTTAAAATAGCTTCATCTAATGATAAATTGGCTCCATTTGATGGACATACTTTTACTTTATTAAAAGAATTGCACCCTCAGGCTTTTCCTGTAGATCTTTCCATCCCTATAAAATCTAATTTAATTGAAATAGATAAGGAAGAACTAATTAAAACAGTTTTATCTTTTAATAAAAACTCTGCAGGGGGAATTGACGGTTTTCGCCCCTCTTATTTCCAATTTTTAATTAACCCTAAAAATCCTTATCAAGATTCATTGGTAATACTTAGTGAAAATATATTGAACAATAGTACACCAAATTCTTTTTGGCGCAAGATTAATTGCTCTTTCTAAGCCTGATGGTGGAGTTTGGCCAATTGCAATAGGATTTTTTTTTAGGAGACTTAGCTAAGATAATCGTTGAGCGCATCAAACCTGATGCTTCAAAAATGTTCCAACCATATCAACTAGGCTTTGGTACTAAAGGGGAATGCGAAATAACCGCTCGCTCTCTTCGCATATATAGCAAAGATCCTCCTCCATACGCCGTAGTCTGTAAGCTTGATTTTAAAAATGCTTTTAATTCTTTATCCAGAAAAACATTTTTTATGAAAAATTCCCAGTTTATGCAAGATTTATTGAACAGTCTTATGGCTGTAGAACCCCTCTCAAATTCGTGGAATATACAATTCCATCTGACGAAGGTATTCAACAAGGAGACCCTTTGGGCCCTCTGATCTTTAGTTTAGGTATACATAACCTAGTTCATTGTCTAAAATCCTTTTTTAATTTAGATTTAAACATATGGTATCTAGATGATGGTACCATTTGCGGACCTTCTAAAAATATTCTTGCAGCGATAGAATATATATAGAAGAATTCTCTAAACATAGACCTTACTCTAAATAAAGCTAAATCAGAAATATGTTTTTTAAATTCAAATACTCTCGAAGTCCAAGGGTTTAAAATCATTAAAAAAAGTGAAATTAAGTTCACCTTTAAGCAGTTTTTCCAACTGTGAGGTGTTCATGGAAAAATTTTTCAAAGGCTTATTAGGACTTGAAACTATTTTAAAAGAAATTCCTTCACACCATAGCTTTTTTCTTTTAAAAAAATATTTATTTTTACCAAAGATTTTACAAATTTTTAGATCTTCTTCCTTTTTTTTAAATAATGAAATTATTAATCGTGTTCATGAATTTTTTAGAAGTTTATTAGAAAATATTTAAAATATTAAATTGGAAGATTTTATTTGGGGTTTCTCACAATTACCCCCGAAAATGGGTGGTTTAGATTTATATCCTTTAAATCTTATATCTCTTTCCTCATTTTTGGCATCGTGTTTGATGAATAACGCCATATCTTCTTTTATCTCTCCTAAAGATAAACTTTTAAACTCAACCTTGACAGCCTGGGTATCTTTAGCTCCACCTGAAGCTGTCTTACCCACAATCTATTTTTGAACCTTTAATTAAAAATTTTAAAATAATCTCATCAAACCCCCCTTTGGAGTATATTCAACCATTACAGAATGCTGACTGTATTAGTGGTTATGAATGGTTGGAAGCATTACCAAGTCGTAACCTAGGTAACCTCTTACCAGATGAACAATTAAGAGTTGCCATAGCCCATCGACTTGGATGTAACATTGTTCAACCACATACATGCATCAAATGTAAAATATTAGTTGACTCCAAAGGGAGACATGGTCTAAATTGTATATATAGTCAAGGCTAGTGTTGTTAAAGCCGAGTCGACTTAGCTGCGACTCGAGCCTAGTTTCTACTCGATAAAACGACTTTGACTCGAGTCAACTAAATGAGCCGCATTGGTCGGCTCACTTAGTCGGCTTGTGTATTCGACTCGTTGGGTCTGCTCAATTTTTTTGTTTTTTTATAAAATCTGGTAAATTGCTAAATTTTGGGAAAATAATTAATGTGAACAAAATTATAATAAGAATATGTTGTTTTAGTTTTTCGTATTTTTTTTGGCATAAATGGGTTAAAATAAGTATTGCTAACATGTTTAAATAAAAGTTTAGTGAAGATGTACCATAGATAAGTGACAATTGTCATAATCGTTGTTTTTAAAGTTTTTCGAATTTTTTTGACGTAAATGGGCTAAAATAAGCGTTGCTAACATGTTTAAATAAAATTCTGGTCATTTTTAATCTTTATT